CTTGTGTTTTTTTTAACTTATCTATCTCATTTTGCATATTTTTGACACGTGGCCCATCTGAGCAGTGCTGAAGCTCATCACAGCTAGTGGACAAAAGAGCAGCAGTGTTTCAGTAAACTCATTGTTGTTGAATACCCACTGCCACCACGTGACATTTAAGCTGTACCTAAACCATAAAACTCAAAGAGGACAGTGATTACTCTTTCAACCTCCAGGGACTGCTTGTCAGGAAATCTTAAACACACTAATCATTTTAAGTGTTAGAAGCTCATGTTAAACAATTGTCAAATGTCAGATGTTGAACGTTAAACACTAAACATACATTTTCAGTTTGTATGAATTCTACAATAAAGTAACTTTTGTGCTAGTGATATTTTGTAAGATATTACTTCTTTTTGTAATATCTGGAGGATCTTACACACAACTGTAAAGAACATTTCATTATCTTGCAGTCTTCAGGCTTGTTTATTATAATCATCTTTAACAGATTTATAGGAGAAAAATCTGATTTAACTCAGTAATAGTGAACACAGCAGTATGTATTGACACTTGTTGTGTAAAGAATACATTTGGGATTGACACCTATGGTGCTACAATGACCCAAGAGTTTAAATTGTCCATGTAGTTTAGAAAACACACTATCAGCTGATGTTAAATGTGTGAGTTGATATAACACGACATATTTTGCTGTGTGAACGCTGAAATTATTTCTCTTTTGTATGTTTTGTCAGTCTTTTGATTTTGTGGCTTAAATATTGAATTGGTTTATTATTGATTTTTAAAGCAAAAACACTGACAGCAGCATACAGTATATAAGCTCATTAGCAGCCATAGCTGTGAAAACTGTCAATATGCTTTCACTTACAGGAAGGTCATGAGGCCAAGTGGCATAATTTTTGTTTGTTTAAATTGCTCAGAAAATTCGTCATTTCCACATTTAGTTGTGGAAGCTGCTCAGTGAATGTCACTAACAGGATTTTAGAAACAAATGAATGATTAAGGACAAAAGTGGGATCTCAGCTCATTTTTCTGATAATCTTAGTTTGTCTCACTGATTATAAAGCCTCTGTTCACATGCTTGTTAGTTAGTTGGGCACTTGATTGTTAGTTTTAGTTTCTGTCAGTGATAAAATGTAATCTTACTTTACAAAAGCTAGATTCTTTCTATTGAGATTGATTTCTGGACTATAGCAAATGTCATTTTTCCATATCAGGTGCAAGACAGGATCTGCTTTCACTTTCTCTTGTAGACTATGATCTATAGCTGTGATTCTGATTGCTGCAGTTCATGTGCAAAAATAAAAAATGCACTTGAAGTCCCATGAAAGTTGGATAGATGGAGGTATTAAAAATAAACCTACTATTCCAACAGAGGAAGACATTGTGATTTCCCATAACAATTACAGAAAAAATACTTTAGAAACTTGCTGTAAAGGGTTCTTGGCTTAGACCACAAGAACTGTTGCTGGGTAGTTGATGTGCTTTAAGACAGATTTATTAAGGAAACACTGATCACCGTCAGCTTCTCAAGTACACAGGACAGGATTGTAATGTGTTCTTAAACTTTTTTATAGATAAAGTGCAGGACATTAGGGTGAGTATGATTCCTACCTCGAAGAGTCGAATCAATGTGACCCCACCTGTATGTTTTTGGTCATCTTTCTCTCCGGTTACTTTTCCAGATATGAAGATTTTAATAAGAAAGATTAAGCCATCCGCTAGCCCTGTCGATATTTTACCTACATCTTTGATTTTAAGTTTGTTTGATTTGATTGGTCCCTGGATTGTGAAATTAATAAATCTCTCACTTGCGACTGGATCTGTCCCTGGTTATTTTAATTATCCATGCTTTTATCTCTGCATGTCTTGATTACTGTAATTCCCTTCTTATCGGTTGCAATAAGTCAACTGTAAAGTGTCTTCAGATTGTGCAGAATGCTGCAGCGAGGCTTTTAACAGGAACCCCTAGAAGAGCTCATATTACGCCTGTCTTATTTTCACTTCACTGGTTACCAGTCAGGTTTAGAACTGATTTTAAAATTTTAGTGCTAACATTTAGAGCACTTCATGGTCAGGCTCCTCAGTATATTGTTGACCTATTAACCCCATATGTTCCGAAGCGTGCTCTCCGCTCCTAATCTGTTGGTGGTTTTATGAAGCAGCTGAAGACACATTTGTTTAGTCAGGCTTTTAGTTGATTTTATAGTTTATTTTAATTTATTTTTATTATGGTTTTTATATATTATCTGTTGGTGTTGTTGGCATATTGTTTAGTTTGTTTTGCGTTCTGCATTGTTGACTTTGTGAAGCACTTTGTGATTTTATCTGTGAAAGGTGCTATATAAATAAACCTTTACTTACTTACTTACTTACTTACAGTATAATGGCATTGGCACTGGCAGCATCAGGCTTGTGTCTGCAGTGTGCATCAGAATGATGGGTAACGCTTTATTTCACAGGTCTGTAATTTCCAGTTTATTTCTAAATAATTTTCTGAGGTTTCCTGGAAGGAACCATAAAATTTAGTACTAATTACAGGTACAGTTAGAGAGTAGCACAGTCAGCACACTTCCAGTTATTTGTAAATGCTAAGCTAGCAAACACACAAGGCTTTCTTCAGAGGACAGAAGGTGAACTACACATGCAAAATGTTAAATTTGTCTACAGATAACCATCCAAGTCAGCATAAATGAAGAATACCATTTCAAATAATTAATAAATAGTTTACATCGAGCAATTTCTTCCATGGAAATTCATCTAGCCAATAATAAAGTCAACACAACTCAGTGGACTAACTAAGAAAAAAAATCAGCCTTAGAAATTTGTCCCTATTTTTTTCTGATTATTAACAAACTACATGGTTCTTTGCAAGAAACTTTCAAGAAATGATTAAGAAATAACAGACCTGTAAAATAAAGTATTAATGAATGATGCTCTCCTGGGAAATACAGGTGTCATGAGGCAGTGGTTCAAAACTGAGACGGCAGTAACGTGAACAGGAAATTGCACAACACGCTGTACAGATTTCCAGATTTTACTTTCAGAGAAATGATGCCTGCTGTTTATTATTTTTGGTTCCACCTACTTGGTTTGATGCACCTGAAGTAAAATGAGACTGTCTTTAGTTTTAAAAATAGTACAGCTACTATAAGCAGTTGGAAGTTTACATCAAACACATTCGTCAGCCAACAACAAGGACAATTCCTCCTACTCCTTGCATGTTTCACTTAACGGGAACAGGAATGTTTCTGGAGGAACTTCAGGATCCTGAACGGCCTTTCTGTGGCTGCCATCAGCTGTGTGTGATGACACCATCATTGAACTTCTCCAATACACATCCTCCCCCCACCTCCCAAACACTACTACTCACCTGTCTATTTTGACCCCTCTCCTTCCTCAAGCTCCTCCACTCAAGGGAGGTGAGTCAGTTGTAGGTATAAAGGGATGTGAAACTTTTTTCGGAAGACACTGGACAGGGCTGAGAGACAGTGTGTGTGTTTGTGTGTGTGAGAGAGAGAGCCAAAGTTACAATTTAAACAGATAATTGGATTGCCTGTTCTAAGACTGGCCTTGCAATCATGGGGCTGGGAGTAAGTACTAGACCTTTGTCATGTTTTGGCCTGGTTTCTAAGAGTCTATAGGTGAAGACTAAGCTGGTTATGTTTTTCAGTTTTGAGTCTGGACCAAGTTTAAGAGGGGCTTGGGCATATGTTTTGATCGGCCTCTGATCAATGGGACTCACAGGTCAATATTTCTGACCTACCACCCTAATACTCATGGGCCAAACTTTTTGACTGGCGGTCGACAGAAGTTATTCAGGTTATTATTTTTGACCTTGTGCTCCAGTCGGGCCAAATTGCTGATTATTAGGCTAAAGGAGTGGCAGTGTCCATCCATACAAACACTTTTATGAAATATTTCTGTGAGCGTTTCATGGATTGTTATAATATTTTATAGACATTAGTCGGCCATGGATGTTGAAGGCTAGCGACTCGGTTCTGATTTTCAGTGAAAGATCTTGATAAGCATTTGATACACGTGTTCATCTTAGAGGATGAAATTTGCTGAGTTTGGTGGTTCACTGAATTTGCACTAGTACCAGTTTTGATTTTCTTTAAAATCTTTTAAAAACATACATTTTAAAATAAACTGAACCTAACAATGAAGGTGGTTTAAACAGAGCAAACACAGGTAGAATATAGGAATATTTTGGATAATATGGAAGCAATGATGCCAAGATGTTATGCAATACCTTGTGTTATTACTTCTCAGAGTCTTGTTAGCATAGCGTATCCATCATACACTGTTTAAAAGAAGTGAACTTACTTTGAAATTTTTATTTTCTTATTTCATTCTGTTTCCTGTTTTGTGTTCATGGTCTCTATAGTGTTGATGTTTTCGCAGCAGTTTGGCTTCTTGCTCCTTTTCAGTGGAAGAATCCTGATTGGTTTTGGTTGACTGAAGGTGATACAGTATGTTCAGTTGAATCTGTAATGAGAGGATTTAATCCTTGCAATATTTATACAAAATACATGGGAACATGTTAACTTAGTGTGTCTGGGCTGGGCACTGCATTGTCAAGAACACTGATGTGCTTAGTGAGTCTTTATGACCATATGAGAAACAGAGGAGTGTGTGTGTGTGTGTGTGTGTGTGTGTGGTAAAGAAAGAGTTAGGAGGTGACATTTGTATCTTGTGACTGCCCATCCACTGATAATTGTCTTCTTTTTGTAGCTGCTGACTGGTTGGTAGTAGTTCTCTGTTGAGGATTTTCCATAGAGTCTGTTTGTTTGCTTGTTGTTTCATGATCGGCCAAGGATGATTGTTGGTGTTCTTTACACTTGCCAAATGAAGTACAATGTGTGATCATGAATTATTTTACTGAGTTTTCACAGTCATCAGTGATTAGTTCTGGAAAGCTCCTTTCACTTTGGCTGGGGGCCGGTCAGGATTACTAACCCCGTAGTCAGTTTGAACATGGCCACATGTCCCACTGAGCCATGGGTGACACTTTGTAATGCTGTGCTATGACAATATGACAGTTAGTAGTCTTAATTTGAATAAACCACCACTGGACAAAAAGTTACTGAATAAGCTTAATATACTGTACCTTAGTTTCAAAAACAGCTGTGTAAGCATACTGTTATTTTTTAGGAACTCTCCAAGTTTCTCAATTTGAGAGTTTTACAGCTTGTTTGAGCAGCAAATCATGCTTTCTACTTTCCAGGAGCTCATTTTGTCTCACTGTTTTTACTCCAGAGGGGGAAGGATGAGTACAAAGTGGCTCCAACCTCAGACGGCAAGGACAAGAAACACAAGAAAGGTAAAAAGAGCAAGAAGGATGTGGATGATCTGAAGAAAGAAGTTGAACTGGTGAGTGCACAAATAAAAAGTCAAACCAGTCAGTGAAATCAAAGTGAACTTCATAACACTGCTTTCCTCAGGCCATGTTAACACTGAACACAGCTGAGACAAACCTCTGCTACAGCTGCTCACATGAGATGAAGCAGTCTGCCTCATGCTTAATTGCTATTAACCTAATTTCTACTTACACCACTGCATGTTACTAAGGAGTTCACAACTATACTTAACTTCTCAGTCATTCATATCTAGGTTGACTTTCACTAGTGAAATGGGTCAGAGGCTCTGTTGCCATCACAGACTCTTCAGTTTCTCCAAACATATGAACTAGTCTTTTTTCCACAGCCAGCAAACTTATTATTCTGCTTCTCCTTTCTGATAAACTTAGATTAGTTTGATTGGCAGAGCCAGTTCATTTTATCTTCATCCAGATGCTTAACTTTCATCACTGAGCTCATCTGCTCTGGCTGTGCAGCTGTAAAGCTGCATACATACAGGTTTGGCGGGGTGTAGGTAGGAGATCAGTTGGCCAGTTTCCACTAGCTCAGGCTTTGAAGCTGAATCTGTAGCTGGCTTCGTCAGTGAGGCGCTTTTGCTTTAGTGCTGTTTAACAAGGACGCTGTACATCAGTGTCCTTGACAAGGTAAGTTGATGACAAGGAAGGTGGAGGCCTCATGCTCATCTCAAAGCACTAATTAGATATTAATCAATGTAGCATGTTGAAATGTCCCACTGAATATTTGAAAATTATTGTAATAATGCTTTCATTTTCTACCATTTTGCAGAATGATGAACTTTGTGTATATGGTTGATGACTTTCACAAGGTCCACCAGTTTTGCTGTATGTTAAAGTAATTTTTCAAAAACTAAAACTAAAATTACAATAAGATTTGAAGGCTGTTTTATAATTAATTCCTATATTACTGCATGCTTCTTGACACTCCAACAATCCATGCCCAGTGTCATCCAGCAGGTCACAGTACTGATGATTATTAGCTAATAAAGTTGTAGGTGGATCTTTATGGAGTCCACAAAGCTGTTACAATTAACTGGCTTGTCAAAGTCCAGCTAAAGACAATGCTAACTATTGCAAACAACATTGTAGAAAATCATATCATGCATGCACCAAATGACTTTTATGTGAGTTTTGGCTGAGTCTGAAAAAGTGGACTCCACTCCCAGATAGTGTCCAACACATGAATAACATGTTTGGGAGAAAACATCAATATTCTAGTTGGTTGTGACTGATTTGGATGGTTGGACTGTTTGGTCACAGCAAACAGACTGTAGGCAACTGAGCTCATGGTGGCTGCAGGCTTTCCATCTTCAGCAGTTTTACTCAAATGTCTGCTTTCACTAATCTCACAGTAATATTACACTGTATGCACCAGCATGTGTCTGTAATCCTGATCAGAAGGCTGATTTTGCCTTGTCAGCTTCATGTTCCCCAACTCGCTCTGGAGAAGGTGACAGGACATTTTTTAATACTCAGAGGAGATAATATCTGCAGTGTTCAAGTGACAGGGATTTTAGTAGATTTTTTTGCAGTGTATCTGTTGAGTGTATTGTTCTCTATCTCCATAGGAAGCTCACAGGTTGACCTTGGATGAACTTAGCAAGAAATATGCAACCGACTTAACCAAGGTGAGCACTCTATGTACTGTATGCGTTGGTCTATTTCTCAGAGTAAGAGTGTGAGCCTTGCTGTACTGGTTTTTGGTGAAAATGTAATCTTTTTTCTTTGTGACCCCTTTAGAGAAAGCCATGTTACTTGTGACTCCACTGCACAGCTTCTGACTTTAATTTTGGTAATGTGCAGTGCAACCAAAGAGTCATTTTCCTTCTGAGATTGTTCCATTTGAAGGATTTTTAGGAGGCTGAAAATGCAAAAACAAATGTGAAAGAATAAACAGTTTTCAGTTACAGTTCTTGTTTCCCATCCTATAAATCAGTACATTTAGGATCCCATAGGTGGTCTGAAATTGCAGGTTGGTAACTGCTCTGGATATTCACAGTAAACACTGACAACATTTTCCAAGGGTGTCTTTCTTCAGTATAAAGTCGTTCCAATAATATAAGGTCACAGGGAAGTCAGTGGATTATATATTATGGCAATTTTACCACAACAAAATTTTATTTCTCAATTGTACAGGGGGGACAACAGCCACAGGAATCTCATCAAAATTGAGACATACATTACAGTATATTATTGAAAACTAGCAAAGGCAATCATTTTTATTACTATTTTCACACTCTATAGCCTCTTGTGTGCCGAGTGAGACCTTTTCTTGTCTTCTTTGGGTCCCTTTTTAGGGTCTTTCCTCCTCCAGAGCAAAAGAAATCCTGGCCCGAGATGGCCCGAATGTCCTCACACCTCCTCCCACAACACCTGAATGGGTCAAGTTCTGCAAACAGGTAAAGTTTAATTCTTCATTCCTGAGCAAAACACAACATGTTTTTAATATTCAAATTCACTTTGATATTTTTTGTAGTGAAACCAGCAAAGTCTGGAAACATGAATGTTCTTTCTGTCTTGTTTCCAGCTGTTTGGTGGTTTCTGCTTGCTGCTGTGGATCGGTGCTATCCTCTGCTTCATTGCTTTTAGTATCCAGATTACCTCAGATGAGGAGGCAATCTATGATAATGTAAGGAGGACTTTGTTAGGGTGTACTTATTTATATATCAGACAGTTTAAAGCAAGATGACCTGACAGAAAACCTTTTCTCTCTTCCTGCAGTTGTACCTAGGTCTTGTGCTTGCTGCTGTCGTCATCATCACTGGTTGCTTCTCCTACTACCAAGAGGCCAAGAGCTCCAAGATCATGGAGTTCTTTAAGAATCTGGTCCCACAGGTGAGCTTTTATGACATTTGTACCTACATATCTGTGTAACAGTCTAAGGCCACATTACATGTATAGTTATAAAAACAACTATATTTGACCTTTAATCTTGTAGCAAGCCCTGGTTGTCCGTGATGGTGAGAAGAAGAGCATTACCACTGAGGAGGTGGTGGTTGGAGATTTGGTGGAAATTAAAGGTGGAGACAAGATCCCTGCTGATCTGAGAATCATCTCTGCTTATGGCTGCAAGGTTCGTCCCTCAGGAACTTGTTTTAACATTGGTCAAACAGATAAAAAAAGAAATCCTGGTTTACTCACAGTCTATCAGTAGGTTATGGTTAAAGATGCTTGACATCTGATGTGAAATACAGTGTGCTGACACATGTGGTTTATTAACAAGCAGTTTCTTTTTTTAATCACTTTCTGATTTTGTTTCACCCACTTAAACATCTAAAACTGATCTACAGTAGGTTGTTTTAGGATAAAATTTCTGTTTTCCCATGTTGATCCTCAACAAACAAAACCAAAAATATCATCCAGATTTTCTCATTACCCTAAAGACATCATGTCCTTACTTCTCTGGAGATCTTTGGTATTTCATTCTGGCTCTATTTTGACTCCTTCAGGTGGACAACTCCTCCCTGACTGGTGAATCAGAGCCACAGACCCGGACTCCAGACTTCTCCAATGACAACCCACTGGAAACCAAGAACATTGCCTTCTCCTCAACCAACTGTGTTGAAGGTAGACAACAAACTGGTGGTTGACAGAAATTACAAGGTTAAAATTAATTTGTGTATGGCATTGAGTAGATTAAATCAGAATCCATAACTATAGAAAAAATAGCTTAAAAATATTTCACAACTACAATTTTAAGAGCTAATTTAAACAGACAAGTTGATAACAAAAGAAATAAACTTTAAGAAAGGTGAGATTTTACTTATGAATCAGTATCTGGATGTTGGTAAATAGTAAATGTCATTCAACTGCACTGACTCATAATTACTTTCTTTGTCCAGGTACCGCCAGAGGAATCGTCATCAGTACTGGAGACAACACCGTCATGGGTCGTATCGCCAACCTGGCTTCCAGTCTGGAATCTGGGAAAACTCCCATCGCCATTGAAATTGAGTACTTCATCCACATCATCACTGGTGTGGCTGTTTTCCTGGGTGTTACATTTCTCACCATCTCAATCATCACTGGATACACCTGGCTGGAGGGCATTATTTTTCTCATTAGTATCATTGTCGCCAACGTGCCAGAAGGTCTCCTTCCTACTGTCACTGTGAGTTCTCCTTCTCTTATTCTACAATGATTTTTTTGATTCAAAGACTCAATATAAAGGCACTGTAATCAATTGACTTCTGTCTCTAGGTGTGTCTGACTCTGACTGCTAAGCGTATGGCCAAGAAGAACTGCCTGGTGAAGAACCTGGAAGCTGTGGAGACTCTGGGCTCCACCTCCACCATCTGCTCGGACAAGACTGGCACCCTGACCCAGAACAGGATGACTGTGGCCCACATGTGGTTTGACAACCAGATCCACGAATCCGACACCATGCAGAACCAGAGCGGGACCTCCTTCGACAGGAGCTCGGCCACCTGGGCTGCCCTGGCCAGAGTCGCTGGACTTTGCAACCGTGCTGTCACCCTTGCTTCACAGGAACACATTCCCATTCTGAAGGTGAAAAGCTAATTGCATGCACTATTTTCCTTTAAAGTCTTCTGGTTACCAAACACCAAACATTTTTCTTTAGGTCATCCCTTCTGAATAGTTTTCTTCCTCTGTAGCCAGAGGAAACATGAGATGCACTCACTGTCTAGGAGGGGTCTTGGCATTATGACTTAGCAAAGAACTTTTTTGATCCAACAAAATATAAATACAGCCAAACTGCACTGTAAATCTTTATAGCCATATACTGTAGTTAAAGGCTTTTTCATAAATATATAACTGGTGCAGTAGCAGGAGATGGCCAGTCAAACCCACAGGCTTATTTCTTAATGAGCACTGGCAACTTTATATCTTTCTCAAACTGCACAGTGGGAAAATAATTAAATGTAGCACAATAAACTTTGTATTGTGTTTAGTTAAAAATAAAATATGAACGTTGATTGGATGAAATATTCACTGTTGTTCACATGGTGATATTGTCTTGTGGAATGGATATATTGTAAATAAAGAGGTGTAATGTGATTGATGATTTGGATCAAACCCACTGATCCAGCTCTTTGCATTCTCTCTTGATTCACAGAGAGAAGTAGCCGGTGACGCCTCAGAAGCTGCCTTGCTGAAGTGTATTGAGCTGTGCTGTGGATCCGTTACTGAAATGAGAGAGAAAAACCACAAGCTGGCTGAAATCCCCTTTAACTCTACCAACAAATACCAGGTACCCAAACCATATTCTTCACAGTTGGAGTGATTAATCAGCTGTTTTCACATGATGTAGTTCTAAAAAACAATAAGTCAGATAAGGATGTAGTTACAAAAAGTGAGGATGTATGGCCTCCATGGTTCTGTTACTGGGTTCAATCATACATAATACAAAACAAACATTCAAAACCCTGCCTTCCTTTTGTTCCACAGCTCTCCATCCATAGGAATTCAAGTCCTGGAGAGTCCAAGCACCTGCTGGTGATGAAAGGAGCACCAGAGAGGATCTTGGACCGGTGCTCCACCATCATGATGCAGGGCAAAGAGCAACCTCTGGATGAGGAGATGAAAGATGCTTTTCAGAATGCCTACCTGGAACTGGGAGGCCTGGGAGAGAGAGTACTGGGTAAGATTTATTTCTTAAATCCTCATGTTTTCAATTATTTGTGGTATACTGTTGCGTCCCTTCACTAAATGACAAGCATTTGTCCTTGTCTTATTCAGGTTTCTGCCATTTCAACCTGCCTGATGACCAGTTCCCAGAAGGCTTTGCTTTTGACACTGAAGAGGTGAACTTCCCCACTGAGAAACTTTGCTTCATTGGCCTCATGTCCATGATCGACCCTCCTCGTGCTGCGGTGCCTGATGCTGTCAGCAAATGCAGAACTGCTGGAATCAAAGTATGCAGCTTATACAACTGAAGTTCATACCTTCAGTGTGACATGTTTATGTGATTGTAGTTTAGCAAGATTTAGACACTGAGCATCGGGTCTCGTCTCTGTCCCTCAGGTTATCATGGTCACAGGTGACCATCCCATCACGGCCAAAGCTATTGCTAAGGGTGTGGGTATCATCTCTGAGGGCAACGAGACTGTTGAAGACATTGCTGCTCGCCTGAAAGTACCAGTGTCAGAGATCAACCCCAGGTTAGTTCACATACAGTATTCAGGTTTACGTGACTACTCAACTTTTTGCTGATGATACCATAATGTTTTTTAAAGGTTGCCCAGGCTGATGCTGTCTGTTTTCCTTAGGAATTTCCTGTTGTCCCAGTTTGTATTTACTTTTTGTAATGTCCAGACTGGTTCCCATCCACAGAAGCAAGATGCTGGATTTCACCTTTTGTCCTAATGTTACTGTGGTTTCCTCTGCAGGGACGCCATGGCTTGTGTTGTCCATGGTGGTGAGCTGAAAGACATGACCCCGGAGCAGCTTGACGATGTGCTGAAATACCACACAGAAATCGTCTTTGCCAGAACCTCCCCTCAGCAGAAACTGATTATTGTGGAAGGTTGCCAGAGGCAGGTTAGCTTCACAAGGAATTCATGACATTTTCATGGACTCAAATTGGGAATGAAAGGCTTTCAGAAATATTTGTTGTTCTAGATTTTTATTTTGTATAACAGTATAACAGTAAAACTTAATTATGCACTAAGTGACATAATTGCACTAACATTTAAATGCTCATCTCCTTTCACTTCAGGGTGCCATTGTGGCTGTGACAGGTGACGGTGTGAACGACTCTCCAGCTCTGAAGAGAGCTGACATTGGTGTTGCTATGGGGATCACAGGATCCGACGTCTCCAAGCAGGCTGCTGACATGATCCTGCTGGATGACAACTTTGCCTCCATTGTTACTGGTGTGGAAGAAGGTGTGACCTACACTGGGATGTTTACCTGCAGAAATGTGAGCATGTAACAGCTTAGTTTTCTCACAGTTCTCACAGTTTTAATTTCTAAATTACTTTGTCAGGCCGTCTGATCTTTGACAACTTGAAGAAGTCCATTGTCTACACTCTATCCAGCAAAGTCCCTGAGATGTCACCCTTCCTCTTCTTTGTCCTTTGCAACATCCCTCTGCCCCTGGGAACTATCACCATCCTTTTCATTGACCTGGGAACTGATGTGGTGAGCTCCGTGACTGATGATTTGGTTGAAATATGTGTCATGCTGCTCACTGTAATTTACTGCTCCTTGACATCTGTGATGAGATCAGATCTCTGTGCCATTTTCTTGATGTCTCCCAGGTCCCTGCCATTTCCCTGGCCTATGAAACAGCTGAGACTGACATCATGAAGAGACAGCCCAGAAACTCAAAAACAGACAAGCTGGTGAATCAGAGACTCATCAGTGTGGCCTATGGACAAATTGGTAACCTATGGTCTTTTTATTTAATCATAATGATACCTAATGATTATAAACTGAAAGACAATACTAAAATATTTCTCTATTTTACTTACTGCCAACCAATATCATAAAAAGGAGACAACACTGAACATATCTTACTATAGAGTATTGCTTGGGCATCTAAAACCTCATTTAGCTCATTGCCTGTGCTGTGGAGCTCCAGTGTTGTCCAA